CATTTACAGATGTAATGTCCGTGACACTACGTAATCCATATTATATAATGAAAATATTTTACATTTTCTATTTTTCACTCCTGATAAAGTTAGAACAACTATCTGTTTATTTGATTTAGGAAGGAAGTTCTGATATATGCAAAAACAGAACAGGAATTTTAATTTTCCTATATACCATCAAAAGTTATGTCGCAATCCTGTAATGTCCGTGACACGTACATTTTGCATTCTGACATACACACCGTAATTTTTTTTTTTAATTTTGTGTTATATTCCTACAGTTGAGAGTGAATGGGAGTATAAAAACCAAAATTTGACTTGTTTTCATTGTGTAATCTATAAAATATAGCTCTTTATATTTTCAAATTTGTAATGTCCGTGACAAAAAAATACTGTGGAATGCCCCTATAATACATTATATAGTATTGTACCTCCAAACTAGGTGACAAAGCATTGGTTTGCATTCTTAAGTACATTTTAAAATTTTTTAAAAAAAGTAAATTATCTTATCATTAATGAACTTATTTATTTTGGTTGGATTGGATTGGATTTATTCGGTGTAAACACCAAGGATAGCCCACGAAAGTCTAGAAGAAGACTTATTTCCAGTGGGGTCCTTCTGGTGGTGATTGGGCAGTACAGTGCACCATGAGACAGTCCTCTACTCTTATCTGAAGAGTGTACTGCATTCTTTAACATGCACATGGGCCATAATGCACACGGGACCAACGGCTTAAACGTCTCATCCGAAAGACGGTGCGTTATTGTAACTTGTATTTCAGCCCTCTAGCTGAAACACAAGGAGAGGCAGCGTTGGGAATTGAACCGGGGACCTAGAGATCTCCACGGTTCAGCGCACACACAGCGGCTACTACCAGATTAGCCGACTGAGCTAGCTGTTATGTTAAGTTTAGCCCCCCCCCCCCCAATGTGAGACACAATTGGGTACCTGAAGGTGTGGGGTGGTCTAATACTGGTGCTGTCTGCAATTAGAGGATCAGCTGTTTTAAGAATGGTAGTTGGCACGTAAAGATAGTGGTCTCAAAGAGAGAGTCAGAATTAGAGAGGTCTTGAGGACCAACCATATTATTTCTTTACTGTAGGCTATTCTTATGGAAAGTGAATGCAAAAATCATTGTCAAAATGCACTTTCATCAGGAAAAAGAATTTTATATAATTTCTTCAAATTGTAGAATTTACCTTCCATCACTGATATTTTCAGCATTTTTACTTCCCTAACTTCACAATGATTAAAAAATATGACTATGTAAAATGTGTTGCTTTTGCTTTTAGAGTAGTACAATATAAGTAATTGTCATAAATTAGTTCATTTGGATTTAGGATTTTTGTTCAGGGGAAAAAATCAATTTCCTCAATTCAGTGAGTATATAAATATGGATTTCAAAATGCTTCTCCATTCTTTTGTAGATTCATAGACACACCTTATCAAAACCATGCTGTCATTTTTAAGTGGTCAGAGCGTGGCAGAGGAGCAGCTCATCTTCTGGATGGCGGTAGTTCTGGCATTTCTGGCCATCTTTGTTGTCTTTTTACTCCAGTTCATGAAGGCAACATATGGTCGCTATAGTGATCCTGCACATGGAAAGACTATTAATGTAAAAGTTGCCTGGGTTTTGCAAGAATCTCCAGCACTCCTGATTCCGTTGACGCTTCTGCTGTTCACAGACAGTGTCCAGACAAAAACTACAGTTAACATTATCCTGTGTGGCCTCTTTATTATTCATTATGTGCAAAGGTATTCAATTGTTTGGATTAAAATCTACTTAGCAATAAACCAAAATGGCATTAAGCCAGAGCTGCATTAACCAAAATTGTAATAAACCAAAATTAAAATACTTTTCTACAATATGTCCATGCCTTGAGTAAGTACCAGCTTTGGCTTTTTCAGGTTTTGCATTTTATAAAAGAAGATATACTGAAGAACATTTCTGCAAAATATCAATCACTTAATCTAACTAAAAAGTATATTAAATTATTTTTAACATACAAATCTTAATAATAAACTATTGATTTTAGAGTCTTTGGAAGCTGTTTTCTCAAAACCTTCATGACTGATATCCAATGAATTAAATATTCATAACTTTGCTAATACTCATCCAATTTCCATCATTTAAACATTGTATTATAAGAAGAATTCGTGCAAAATCTAAAAACTAAATTCTGAATTTTTCATACAAATGGCGGGTTTTGTCAGAGTCGGTCACATTTTTGTTGAGTACATACAACTCGAAAGGATTTAATAAGTTTAGTATACTGTAAAACTCTTATTTTTCTGATAGTAAGAATAATAGTAAAAATTAATAATAATTAATATTCAGTTTTCTATTTATATCCACCCTCTAGAACGCTAATCTTCCCGTGTTTGATCCGTGGAGGAAAGGACACACCAATGTTACCATTTGTTTTGGCCATGTTCTTTTGCATCTTTAATGGATATATGCAGGGACGTTACCTGACAAAATATGCTGAGTACCCCAGCAATTGGATATCCGATTCTAGGTTTTTATTTGGTGAGCAAAATAGTTTTATCTTAAATATTTAATCAGAAAAGAGAAGTCTAACGGCCAGCGGTTAAGGCAGGGGTACTTCAACGTACAGCTATAATATCAGAGCTGGTTCAAATGGCACGCTCACATATGGTTCTGGTGGTGGAAAAAGTTTTCTCTGATAAGGACTATAAACCGTAGGCCCAGTTTACACATTTTGGCTCTTGTGTACTTTAAAGAACCCAGTACATCTTTCGAGACGAATAGGGGGTTACACGGGTGTACTGGTCCATACATCCCTTGTTGTGGAAAGACGAGAGTAGCTGGTGCCAGTTGACCGGGAAGAGACCTTTACAGGATAAGCAAGTTACTTTGCAAGCTAGTCCACACCTCGATCACTTTGAGACTTTGGTAGAAAGTGCTAATTAAATCTAAGTACATTACATTACAAGTAGTTGTGCATGTTTTAAGGTCCACACTAACAAATTTTATGTGAAAAATTTGAGTGATGTACCCATATGTGGACATGATGATATCATATTTTCATTTTTTTTTTCAGCACAAGTGCCAAGGATATGCTAATAAGTGAACTTAATCACTGTCCTACGTGGTATATCCATTAAACAACAGGGGACTTAATTGACCAGTGCACCGGGGTAACCCCCTACTCTTCTCAAAGTATGTACTGGGTTCTTTAAAGTGCACACGAGCCAAACGTGGGCATTGCACAGTTCAGTCCATACCATTAACATTTGATAACGTGGACAGCATTATTGGTAGATTGACAAGTCAAAAGTAAAATAAATTTTTAAATACAGCAATAAAAACAGTTTTACATTTATCTGAAAAGTGTTCTTTTTTATAATTCTATTACATAATACTCCCTGTGTTTTTTTTAAGGTGTTTGTCTGTTCTTTGTTGGAATGTTCATTAATTTACACTCGGACTATATCCTTAGGAATTTGCGGAAACCTGGCGAGACTGGCTACAAAATACCAAAAGGTGAGTCGTATATAAATATGTGCAAACTATTAAATTAACTTGAGTTGTTTACTGTGTAAACTTTCAATTATAATTGCAACAAAGTTATATTCATAATATATTTTGCTCACAAATTATCAGGTTTATTTCTCAGTTTCATTTTAATTATTTTGGGTCAATTATGTTTTATTTGTATTTATTGTACTGTAATTAAGTGATTTATTATATTGTATTTTAAGTTGAACGCACCACCCTTGAGTGCCGCCCATCTAAAGGCGTATGTTCACAAAGTAAATAAAGTAAATAAAATAAATAAATATAAGAAATACTATTTTTAAATTGTTTGCATGGATCCTTCAATTTAAAAATGTTGTGATTGAGTTAAAAAAGAACCCAATGAAAAAGCCTAAGGTTTTCACTGAATATTCATGAAACATTTTTATTCTCAACAATGTTTCTCTATACATATACATTCCTAGACAATATTAGGTAACAAATTTAAGAGATTATTTTTCCTTCCAGGTGGTATGTTTAATTATATATCGGGTGCAAACTTTTTTGGAGAGATCGTGGAATGGTTGGGGTTTGCAATGGCTGTGTGGTCATTTACTGCATTTTCTTTCTTTCTCTTTACTTTGTGCAACATTGGACCAAGGGCATGCCACCACCATCGGTAAGTAATTTGATTTTTTGTGTTTCTCAGTACAGGCCACCTTACAATTAAAGACTGCTTCAGACCAGGGTTTCATGTTCCTCATTAGCAGTCTTGGGGCGTGTTTCTGCTGAATAACGCCAAAAACACATGTTTTTTATACTGTGAATGGTTAAATTCCTTCTGAACGCGTTTCTAGTGAAAAGTGCAACTAATGAAAACACGGTAATGCGAGCATTGGCAGGTGGGTGGAGCTTAAATGACGGTCACCAACGGAAGTTGAAGCTGACCTTACTTCTTGCGAGCTATAAGCATGTCATCCTATTGGTTTAATTTTTTTTCGCCCCAAATTTTCCGCAGACGAGCGATCAAACCAACGAAGAGGTCAATACGGGTCACCGACGGGTCATGACTAACACAGTATTGTGTTGCAGCTGCAAAGTGTACCACAAAACACACGTTTTCTGAATGCGAACCCTATAACGAATGCATGTAAAAAAAGCCCTTTTTTGTTTTGTGGTCTGTTTCTACTGGGGAAAAAACACATGTTTTTTAATAACCGTTTAAAAACACATGTTTTTTTTGCTCAGCAGAAACAGGCCCAATGTCTCTACTTCTAAGGAAAAAAAAAACCATTAATAATATAATAATAATTTTAGACTTACATTACTTCTTTTCTAAATATTTTCCAGATACTATCGTGAAAAGTTTGATGATTATCCTAAGTCAAGAAAAGCTGTAATTCCATTTATTCTGTAAAGCAATATTGAATACAACATGGCTATAAGAAACCTGTCGTGGAATGATGTGAACATGTAGCTACTAAGTGCCTCTCTAGGACTGCTACAAGTCACGGAACACACCCATAAGCAATAAAGCACAATAACGTTGCGAGTTATACGTTATTCTATTTTTATCATAGAGTTATAATAAGAATGCTAGAGCGCTAACTGCAATGTATTCGATGTTCAGAATACGCAGAGCCGTGTTTGTGTACCATCCAAGATGGCTGCCGTAGATTTACCTAATCCAAATTCGTCTAAGCACCATCATTTTCAATGGCGCCCTCAGTTTACACGGAAAGTCGCGTACAGTTAAGTGACCTGTATGTTGAAACTCGAGTGTTGCAGTGTATGGGTTTAAGGTGCACAATTTCAATTTCCATTCCTCGGTACTTTATTTTTAAATTAGATGCTCTACTTGGCCTCTTTTAGGCTACGATAGTTTAATAATTTATTTATATTATTAGTAATAATGATTAATGTAGTAATAGTTTAGTCAGAGGGCTTATTTATGGTTATAATATGTATACTGAGCCTGAAGGTGGCTCTTTCCTATGGCGACAATCTTGGATGGTACACGTACACAACTCAGCATTGCTTCATCGTCTAAGCAGCACTCTAGTTGTTTAATATCGCTATGATTTTTCTCCATCAGAACTTACCTGTTTGAAGTTCATGAAGTAATTATAGTGGTCTCGCTATGCTCCCCCCCCCCACCACTTGTAATGCAATGCACTGTCATGTGTTGATGTGCATCGTGTCATTGCAAATCTAAACAAAACCATAATCGTACTCTTTTTCAGGTCATGTCATATCATGTGCATATGATCCTATATTACTCGTCTCACAACTAAAACGAACAAAGTACAACTAGCAAATTCTGATGTCCTGAATTTCAGATTTTATATAATATTTCTGCATGTAATATTAAGGAGGAATATGATATTTGAAGATGTAAAAACGTTGAAAAAGTAAGGAAAATATATTTATGTTGATTTTTAATTGTTACTAGAATTACAGTAAAACTTGCTTAAGTCGACTTTGCATAACAAGTTCCATTAATAAACGATCTGTGGAAGAATTTTTCAATGCCATTTTGGATTCGACTTAGGCAAGTTCAACAGTATTAGGTTAATACGCATTAATTTATAGAGATTATCAGTTTTATTTAAGTTTCAATCACCAACGAATAATGTACAGTACTTGCAATGCGGGTAGTGCATCTTTGGTGATGAAAGTGGTCCCGAGTATAGAAAACTACTGCTTTTGTGATGCAAATATATTTAATGCAACTTTTGGGCTTTTTTAATCAAATTCTGTTAATGTTACATTATGCTCCTCTCTAAGTTACGTGCTGCACTTTAATAAGCACCGCTTGAGAGGTGAATTTTTCGCTAAGCACAACCCTTGAATAAATGCCTTCAAAAATCTTATTAGCGCCACGGCACTTATTAGAACATTTATAGTAAACATGTATTCATGTCAACCTTTATTCATTTATACATATGTATTTTAGAATACTTGATGCAGTTAATTTTGATGATTTTAAAGAAAATTACAATACTTTTATTATATACTGTATATTGCTGTGTTTGTGCAATTCTAATTTTATCAGATATTGGCACTTGATGGCACTTGTAGCATTAAATAAAATTGAATTGATAATGCTTACCGGTATGTAAGTTTTATTAGCTTACTAAAGTTATGGTGTTTATTCTCGGAATCACACATCATTACAGTATTATTTATATTCTGAAATGTTCCCAATTGCTTATAATTAATTGAAAGGGAAAAGTTTTTGCGAATACTGAGTACTATATAAAGATACAAGAATCCAGTGTCCATTATAAAAATTATAATAGGCCCTATTTATTAAGCCTATACCAAATGTCTTTCATATTGACTTGTATATGAAGTTGTAAAAGCAACTATTTTTGAAGTATTAAAGTATTCTCAAATCTGATGAAAGTTTTCTTGTTAGTTTTGCTTACTTTGGTCGTTATTGGCGGGCATTACACCAAATACAACAAAGTATATTATATTTATATATTGAAATTTTCATTTCTTAAATAAATATTAACAATTAGAAATTCAATGACTAATTTCAATGCTTGTTCATTATTGCGGGAGGGATTCGTAGTCCATGGTTATAAAGTTGTATTTATTTTTAAGCTCGCTACTTAAAATCTTTATCTTTTGACAACGTACTACTAGTTTGCGTGTGGCTACATTTTTCTTTAACACATTTTTCTATTTGATTGTTCCCTGTACATTTCTTTTATTTCGGCTCTATTGTCTGTTATTCAGATTATTAGCAATTATAATTATTGTTAACTTCCAATGATTGTTATGATTGAAAGCAGACAACAAAGAATAAATATAACCAAGAAGATATACAGTAGCCAAATGGACAGTAAAATATTTTGGGTTATTTAAAACCATTTGGATTCCTGATGAAAATTAATGTCGAAATATTGAATCCCAACACGATGGCGTGTATTTCAATACTTTGAGTATAAAACCATTTATTTTTTCCTATATTATGCGGCAACGTTTGCCCCGCCTCCTTCCTTTGTTTTTACCAGCAGGTCAACTTTTGGTGGTAAATATGTGCTGTTTGTTATTGTTTTGTAAATTTTGCACGTTCATGAGTAGGTTATAGGGTTCGTATTATTGTATTTTTTAAATTTGTCATTCTTTCGTGGTCCCATTATGATCGAAATTTAAGCTGATCTAGGCCTAGTCTAGCCCAGGGAGTTGTTATAGTGACTATAACAACTCCCTGTCTAGGCTAAGCCGAGCTGCATAGGCGTACCGCCGTCTGACTAGGCGGAGGCCTAGGTCTATAGATAGGCCTACATTTTTTTGCTAAACAATAAGACTTAAGTGTAATAAATAGCAATTTGGTGAGAAGCAGGTAATGTACTTTCGATTATGTACTTCAGATAAATAATCAGTTATTTTGAATAATAAATATTGTGAATTGTTGATAATTTTTATAACAGAAATACTTTCTTGTTCTTGATGTTTTCTTCCACTTAGTTTAAGGCCTATGGCCTAGACCTCCCACACAAGCAATCTGGCAGATGTGCAGAGCTAGAGTCTAGGGTTAGGACTTGTCGTTGAGTTGCCAATGAACTTTAGTGCTAAAATTGTGTTTTTTAATATCTTCATGGTTTGAAAAAACTCTATGATGCTTTCTCTTATCTAGGCCTACTAAAACAAATATCTCAAATAAATATCTAAAAACTGTTCCACATTTAAAATTAAAGAAATACCAGATGTTGTCAAAATTGTGCTTCTTGTAAATGTGATGGTGAATTTAGAATTTAGAAACTCTGGTTTGCAACATTGGAATAGTTTGTCTCCTGAAGAACAACATTCACAACTCAAGCTAAAATTTTTTTTTTCAGAGATAATGTGTTTATTGTCAGCCTAAATATTATAATTATAAACTTCTGTCAGTTGTTTGTTTCTTTTTCAATATAAGTATAGATTTGAAAGTAAATATTAATTATTATGAGATTCAACTCATTTAGAAAGAGGCTTATTAAATCCTTCGGTTGTTTACTCCTAGAATGAACTATAACCATTCAATAAATATTTATTTGCTAGATGTAGCTATAGCACAGTATAATACAAGTCTTCAATATTCAAAATTGTTGAGAATTTCATAGTTTTATTCTAGTTGAAAAAATGCTATTCCATTATTTTGATAACAATCAGAGGTCTGTTAGTTTTTTGGCACTGTATACATATAGGTGGGTGTCTCTGGTACTTTATAACATACAAAGAACAAAAAAAAATATTGGAATGCAGAAATGCATAGATGCAATAGTTTAATGATAGATAGTTGAGATTTGCCATTGCATATAAAACACTAACTAGAGATGAATTGATATTAAATTCACAGTAAACTACAGTACTATATTACTTACTCGAGACCACTTAAAGACCCATCCCAACTGCCATAAATGATGACCAAGTTGTGTAACCCTGTAGTAATGTTATATTATTTACATACAATTTGTTTTTTAAAATTTAATTTCTACTTTTAGTGTTTACCATAACATATTCCTAACTTGAATAAAATGATAATTTTAGAAAACTGAGGAGGATAAATTGCAAGCAGCAGGATTCGTTGGAAGGCTGTAAACCTGTAAATAAAGAAAAGGAAAATTAGTCAGCATTTCCTCAGGTAGTTGGTCATTTTCATTAAAATCATGATTATATAAAAAGCATTTTATTTTGATAATTATTTATCATTCTCATATTCCTTGGTTTCATTCATTTATTCATTAACTAGTTCCATTTCAAAATCTGTTTTACTATTTTTTTCCATTTTCATCATATTTCTACATTTTAATAGTTTATTAATTCATGTGGTCAATCATTTCAGGGTTTTTTTTTTTTCAATTGTTCTTTTTGTTAAAACATAGCAACAATTTGAGAGCAGTAAATTGTAGAAAACATAGGTGGTCTAAAACAAGACAGCACAGAGGAAACATAGCAGCAGCTGATGGTATATAATTATGATTATAACAAATATGATTTATTGTATTCTAATCACTATAAGCCCTGTATTATGTCTTTAAAACATAGATAAGCTTAAAATCAACCCAAATCTAGGGTAAGCGACACCATCTGGCCAAAGGCAACTTTCAGTCTCCAAAGTCTTGCGTAGCATTTACGGAACAAGTCATTTTTCTGTGGACACTTCATAGATACTTGAATTAACCAATTAACCTAACCTAATCAAGATTTGAACCTAAGACTTTTTTTATGCCTGCAGAATGCAACATTACCCCATGATGGCCATCCCAGAACACCGCCAAATGGGAACCGGTCTCCACCAGACAGAACCAGATCACTACACGGAATGCGAAATGAGAATGAGTACATCCATATACAGTTAAATAATGAAGGCAGGGGCCTAGGATGTGGTTTAGTCGGACAAAGAGGTAGGGGTGTGGTTTTGAAAACAATGCTATGGTATGTGGTATGCTATTGTTGCATCTATATTTTGTGTGTTAGTCTCATAATTAATTGCCTCTTGTAAAATGGTAGTTTCTGCTCATATCAAATCTTCCCATACATATAGTTTGTCATTAGAATATTGTTTCACAGCTTGTTATTCCTTTAAATCTTTTTAGGAAAACAAAATTAAAGGTCTCTTTGTGGCAAATTCTTAAAAACCTCAAATGTTCATTTCAGTCGTTCAAATATGCTATAAATTCAAATTAGACGAAGATAGAAAAAATTTAGTTTACAATGATTTAGAGACCTTTTAATACAAAGACGCTTAGATTAGTTACCAGCCAATTTAAAGGTCCACACAAAAGGATACAGTATAGAAATTGTTATTTATATGTCCGTTATTTTTCATCCCAACACAGGCAGTATGTTAAATGCATGCAAGTCGGCGAATATATTTGTAATCACTCTGGCTCCTGGTGAAAGTCAATAACTTTTTTGATTCTGTAAAATGCGCTATTCAGAATTTTAATTAAATTTTTAAAGTTTTTTTTTTATTTTTTAACTGATAGTATACATTTAAAACAGAAGCAGTCTTTATGTTTTGCTTGGTTATACTATGAGATTAATATAAAAAGGTTTGGTAAAACATTTACATTTCTTTTATTTTGGTGTTATTATTAGCTGAAAGTACTGTATATGTAATTGCATCTTCCACATCAGTGCTGTGGACTGGTTTCTTTATCTAGTGTAGAATTGCACTATTAAGCAAGCATTTTTTTTGTACCTTGTTTTGATCGTCAGAGGAGAGTGGAAAAAAAATGACAATAAAATTTTGTTTTCTTATTTCGCAAATGGTTTTTGCAAAAAACATCCACAGGAGAAAATAAATTATATTTTTTCTGCCCTCCAGACGATCTATAAAAAATAAGTTCACTAAAGCAAGCTATAAAAAGTCATGTCTAAGATATGCTACTATTCTTTGTGTCAGGGCACTGCGCAAGACAAACAAACTTTTGAACACATTTCTATTAAAGCATTTGAAATCTACTCATGCATGATTTTCTTTAATATTAAACATTTGTTCCTGTTGTCATACTGAACTCTGATCTTCCAAGTCATCTGGTGTTCAGTTTAAATATTGAATTAGTGCCCTGATTCCTAAGT